GGTTTGCACGAGTTGGTACCATTATGTTCATCCTTGTCAACTGTAGTACACATCACACAGGTAACAAATAAGCAATCCTACGAATATTGTACTTTAAAATTCAGATTCTGACTGAAAGGCACAGTGTACAACCCGAGTACTTGGTGCATTGTCTGGGGAACTTATGATATTACCTGTAGGAAGAGGTGTTGGCTTCTTCGTACCGCTTGGGGAGGTGGACTGCGTTACCAGGGGCGTGAGGGAACATGTGAAGGCAGGACCCGAGTGGTCTTATAACGCTGCACAGCTACCTATGATACGGAAATATAGGGATGCTACGTTACTGCCAAGGTGATCCACACATTCATCTACGTTTTCAGCGAAGTCTATGTGTGGAATTTTCGAGACAGGCGCGAATTCAATGTCATTCAAAATTTGTCCGGAATCCTGTCACTTCTGTCACCAAGCACCTCACCGCGCTCAATCGGTCAACATTTCCTTAACTCAGGAAGTCGTCACAGCAAGTATGGCATTTCTTGATTATTTGTGAACTATGGGATACAGTCCAAGTCTTGGTCCACAAAGACCTGAGCTACAGGTTGATTCTACACGCAAGCTGACTTCCCACATTTGAAGTGAGATTAATGACTTTTGCTAGTGACTCGTTCACTCGTTAAATATGAGGTCTGCACCGCACAGGACAAATCTTTGAAATGGTACCAGTCCGGACAAACTGGCTGCCATCTGGACTGTATACATAACAAGGAGGGAACCCATTTGACTGTAACTGTCAAATTAAGGTTAGTAGCTCAGATTATGGCATATTCAAACCGAATTTGTCTTAATTAACGCTGTAGAGCGGAGGATAACTGCGTAGTAACTTATGACTTCGGAGAGCACTCGCGGGATGCGCACCATCACTCAAAATCGGGAAAACTCTCTCAATAAACCGAATAATACTGCCGAACGTCTTCAACTAACTTTCTGAAAAGACTAGTGAACGTGACCTTCACTTACACTGAAGAACAAAACCGTGACCTGTGCTGCATTTGCGCCAATGTCGTATAGTTAATTCTAAGAGGTCAACTTTGACCTCACCGGACTTGACGCTGATTTGAACGTACTTTGAAGAGACCATGCAAAACTTAGCTAGAACTAAACGGCCAACTGACATTATGATACCTAAATCATTTGTGATCTACGACGGCGTCTTGTGACGCACATGCCTTAAAAAGTCCTGCGGTTCATTTCCGGATGAACTTGATGATCTTTACCAAATTCAAATTAGTTGAGCACTACACCGCGTCATTTGAGCGGGACGATCCAAATTTCAAACTGGAGAAAGAGGAACAACTTATTAAGTGATCAAATAGCCGCTCCAATACTTAGAGCTGATCACGACCAAACCGCTTTGAATCCACAATTCACCAAAATTTACACAAAACGGGAAAACTCGTTTTCCGGTCTGTCAAACTCCCTATTGAGTACAACACCTCAAGTAACCAGCAAAAATGAACTGAGCATTTGAACGTGTTCGGGGCTACAGATGTATATAAAGTTCTTAGCACTATGCTCTTCCAGATATGTACACAGGACAGTCTGAGGACCGGATTTCTATGGGAAAAACGATGGCTAAATTGATTGGACAGTTCACACCGGGCAGTCGTCATGTTCAAATATCACTTTCCCTCGTGGCTCTCTACAGAGAAACGGAAACAGCTGATTCTTGTATCCTAATGTAGAAATTGACTGCGATTTACCCGGCCAGTAAAACCACCTGATGTTCAAAGGACCAAAATCCGGATTCATGGGTGTCCCACTGTAACATCCACTACTATCAAATACCTCCTACTTCGACATATCGCACAGCTAACAAACAATAATCTGGCCCATCCAGATGGCACTCATCACAGCTGAACTTCACTTTCGTCCACTTGTGATCTGGTATGACTATTCGCTAGTCAATCTGGTCGACCAAGACGCCATCCTCACACAGGTGTTCCGAACGTAGAGAACCTGTTGGCACGCCTGACAGTTAAACGCAAATCGAGCAGTCCACATTGGAGGAAACTGTTATGAGCAACTTTTGCTTTTCACTTCCTTCAAATTGTGAGTGCATCCGCCGTCCCATTTGACCAAATATCGGCCAGGCAAATCCTTATCGAGTTGGTGTGCATTCGTTCCTAATTGCAGCACCGTCATTGTTGCATATAACGCCAACACTCTTCAAAGACAACGAAGTTTCGTGCGCCATCAATCCAAAGGATCTATTCTGTGACTCTTTTCAAGAGCATAATCCGTCAGCCAGTACTGGTTTTGGATTTTGAAGAACTGATCTAATGCATTTCAAAGTATCTATCGACTAATGAACGTAGCGGCATTGATTATGTTCTGTACCCTCCACTTCGGGAACATGAGCTATGTGCACACCAAATAAAAATAGTCGCAAAATCAGAAACAGTGAGCTGTATCATCATCACCATTGTCAGCTGTAATAACCGCGTACTCGTCGTACTGTGGTTGTAGCTGCCGCAGTTTCGTTCACCGATGATTTGGGGGGAGGGGTAGGTAGGTGCGCATTGCAGGAAACAGTGAGCGACCCCGTAAAAATCTGCATCCCCAATCTAGCCCAACCGGTGCTCAGGAAATCAAGGAAACTAGTGAGGCTTATAAGGTTTCGCATACCATTGCAGGACTGAATAGGTCCAGTCAATGAATAGCATCCTATCATTTATTCAAATTAAAAAATATACATCCTGACGCCGTACGCCACTAGTTTACCCGGCCGGCGTGTGTTTCGTAGTTAAAAAAAAACTGAGGCAGACTCAAATTCGTGGGCTTCAATTCACAGGCTCCACTTAACACACAGGAACAACGGGAGTTGCCTTCCAACTTCTAAAGCCCTTCGGATGGCACAGAACCTCGTTGGACAGACTGTACTTTGAATATGGCAGGAAGTCGGATACAAGTTTGTTGAACTCAGATTCCAAGTTGCCACAGGTTGAACTATCTATAATGATTCAAAAAGACACTAATTTCGCCATGGACCAACCTCGAATAGATTTTTTCCCGATTGGTTGGCGACTTAATCATGGGGATTTGTCACTGAGTGGTAGCGTTACATTTTAGTTCCATATAAACGATACAGCATTGCACTTTGCGTCATCTTTACACACACTGTGGCAGACAAGACAGTTGGAAATGAACGGATCCTAGAATATTGTTATTTCTACTGCCTTGTTCAAACTGATCCGGGAATCGCAATGTTTTGGGTAAGGCCACCACCACTTTTGTCAAATCACACAAATGACCAAAAAGTGTATTACACAGACGATGAAAACAAGGAATTCGAGGAAATGAGACCAAGTTTGGGTCTGAATCGGTATAAAAAAAATAGCCTAACAGGGTAGAGCACAGTCGGAGTAAGTTAGTAAAAGGAACCCATGGTAAATTATCCTTGAGTAAGATAGGGAAACACGTGTTAAAAACGGTGAACACAACTGATGATACGATGTGGCCATCGGAGAAGTGCAGAATCATGAAGAACGAGCTACGAATCCATAGACTTCTGGTCTGTAGAACTCTTTTACCACAAGGCCAATCAGCTCTTCCAGTTCGGCTGCAAGCGCTTGTTCGGAATACCTGTAAGGGTTTTGAAAATAGAAATAGAGTTGATTACATAGAATACATACAATGGGATCTGCCTTCCAGAACGACGGACAAGTGCTACGTCTTGAAAGGTTTTCCCACAAGCTTGTTTTGCTTTGACACAAAAAAAACTTGCTAAACAAAGGGGTGGTGGAAAAATCTGTAGTTGGTCTGTCGGCAGCGATCCATTTCGTTTCAAGATTTCGGTTATGAAACCAGAGCCTCTAAGAACCATGATCGCCGGTGGTTAAATTACGGTTGCTGAGTACGGCGTTTAGAGGGGTAATTCGATTGTCATGTACCTCTAAAAACTTCAAAACTTGGAGACTTGGAAGAGCAACCTTGTTCATCAGTGAACTGAGAAATGTTCTTGGCAGTGACTCAAGAAGCAACCTTGTTATGGAAACGGATTATAGAAACTGTGAGATGAACCTGGGATAGGCCATGCATTATAAACCGAGCCGCAGCTGTACAAACGAATAGTGAGCCATCGGCGCTTCACACTTTCACAGACTAGTTCCGTGGTTAGGAAAGACAAACGAGGATAAATTTACAGAAACACGCCAACTTGCTGTTAGCTCATAGTTGTGGAATTGAGACGTGGAGCATGTACATGTTGCTACCAAGTTTACCAGGCCAATTCAGGTCGAGAATCAATACTATGCATTCTCCATGTTAATACATCCAGACATTCTGTGCCAGGTGATTCGGTGGTACCTTGAGAAATCTTGGGGGCTTTCGAGTTTGACGCCTGGGAGTGATTAGCTTTTGGAACACTCTTGTTTGAAGCCCAACATCCGTAGATTACTGTCAGGCAATCTCGAGAATTTTACTCGGACATCTTATAAAAAGAATAGAGACGTATTAACCCAAAACGGTAAAGGATAAAAAGGCTCTATTCAGGAAGCGAAAAGCTTGAAGCTGTCGGAAAGCATGGTCTATGAACTGCCATCTCGGGGTAGGGAGAGGTGTGCTAGGGTCGTGATTCTCCACTGGGTGTGGGATATTACGTACAGAGAGTTGCTGGGACCATGTTTGTGTTGTGTCCGAAGTAGCGGGCACATGGACAGGCAAGTGCACTATTTGTCCAAAAATGTACACAGACCGCCAACTACTGATATGATGTAAGGAGGTCAGCTGCATGCAAGTACAAGAATTCGACCTGGTGAGTAGTATTTCGGACTTTTCATTGAAAGCCTTCTTCAATCTTGAGGCACCACATAACACGCACTAGTAAGTGAAGGAGTTCAGGACACATTAAACAGGTTCTCACATGTGAATCAGTCGACCATCTCACCATAGGTTAATGTGAGCTCTTTCGTCTGCGCGCAGCAAGACAAGGAGCCGACGTTGTAGCCATTTATACTGTAAAGTGTACCTCAGAACAACGGTACTAGCTAAGTCCGGTGACATCAACCCACCCCCTCCACCCGATGGACTCAGCCATCGAAATGAGCCAATGGGCCTTGAGGGATTTAGTTATGTACTACCATCTCAAGTATTGCTATACCCAGGTCTCCATTTCCCAAGTCAGCTTTCATTGGCAATCAATTACTGAAGCCTGCGGCCCACTATTTACCTTGATATCCCCAGACACAAGGAACCATCATGTCACACTGGCCAACGTTACAACCTGACCGATACTGTTTGCGCACGAGCAGCAGGCTGTACAATGTGACCTGGCCGTATCCGGTAGAAGCACAGGCCAAATTCACGTAGCTGTTTAATGCTTCCTTGACCAAAAAAACATACTGTTATGGTCTGCAGAAGTGTGACTTTGGAAGACAAGTACCCTAGCCTGATGATCGATCCATTCATTCACTGTGGGCACAACAGTAACGTGTAGCTGGCACAATTACTAGCGTATACCGTGGAATGAATCTAGACGAACGGAAACGAAGCGATGTCCAGTCGAGGTGAACGACTTAAATACAGGTGTTACACCGGCATGCGACGTGCGTGAAGTGCGCGTGGATGTTCGTGTATTTTCCGTGAGTACATATGAGGTCTACTCGGTTCCATGGGCTATCAATGATGGTTACGGTGAGCATGACTACCGGTTCGTTGACAACCGTGTTTTCTGATTGGTCGGTTTCTCTGAAGGAACTATACACATTGTCGGCCTTTGGCCATAGCGGAAGTGTTCGGGTGAAACGGACTTACGAGCTCCCTGGCTTTGCACGCAGCTCCGAGTAGTATTTGATCTTGGGCTCCGTCCCACTGGTACGGATGGTCAGGCTGACGTCGTTGTCGAAGGTGAAAGTAATCAGTTGACTAGATTTACTGACTGGAAGACGCTGCAGTGAGTCAAGAGAGGATATAATGGAAAAAACAATGAGAAGAACATATACTTGGAAAAATAAATTATGGTAGCGCCTCAAGACAGGTGCGGTAGATGTCAACAGCTGCGCGAGATATAGTGACGACCAACAAAAAACAATTCGTGCTACAAAAGAAGAAACATGCTAAAAAACCGGAAAAAACGCTTCTTGCTCGGACAATCAACAACCGAATTAGTAGTTGGTGTTCTGTTAGCTGAATTTGGCAATTTGGTTGTAAATGTTGCGTCACTAGTCGAGGTGACATTATCCGGACGTAGCAGACTGGCGCTGCTTTGTTGTGGAGGCGTTGAGTAATGCCGCACTCGCGTTTATTTAGAACTCTAGGACGAATGACTAGCTTTGACTGTGATTAGTCTTCTGGGTGGTTGGAAATTTTTATTGGCTATTTGCCCAGACCTTTTTCAGTTTCTATCCATATTTCTGGGGGTGTAGGCACCTAGAGAAGATTAAAGTAGGCTAGCACAAAGTCCGTTCCCCATCTGTTTTTACTCTTTTCTTCACAATAAGGCTTTCAAATGAATCATGGTCGTACGGCAGCAAAGCTGTTACGCTGTCGATGATGATAAAACTGTAGCACTGAAACCGACTTACTTTGGTGTACGGTTTGTACTTGAAAAGCTGAACTGAACCAATAAGTAAACGAACCCAACCGGGGTGCACGTAAGGACCTCCTATTTACTGGACAGACTACATAAAACTGAGCTGCATGGATTCCTATTCTCCCACACAATTACGCACTTGAATAAATGGGGGTGGATAGATCTACAAAACTGGGCGAAAATGGTTAATTTTTTTTGCGAATCGGATGCCATATAGAGTCTATAAGTGGGGCGCTTCCAGTCAGTCCCATTTCTGTCAAAATCAGAGTACAAAACAGACGAATGGCTTCAACCTGGGTGACAAATGTCCACATTCCTTTGAATTCATGAACCTCGAGGACAGTAAACGGTTGTGTCTCGCTGCCGGCAACGCCGAATGTAGTGGATGTAGTTTAGAACTACGACTGACATGAAACAGAAAAGAACACTGATATGGAATAATGTGGGAGAGAGAGGGAGAGAACGCTGAGACAGGAATCCGAGCCACTCGCCGCGTATTCATAACATTAAAAAAAGATCAGTAAAGGGTGCGCAAGCAAAGAGGACCATTTAAAATGCAGAGCGATTTCTCACACTAGCGAGTTCAGACCATATGACAAGGGTCTACGATATCAAGCTAACTGAACGTGTGAATTATAGGGTACCTGCTAATGGACAGAGTGAGAATGACCAACACAAATGGCGTACATAACAGATAGAACTGTCACAGTTGGCTCCCACAGGCTGTTAGAACTGATCGGTCAGGAATCAAGAGGGAACCGATTTGAACTATATCACATAAAAACACAATGAGTAGTGCATACCACTTACTGCTTTCTTGTCCGGATAATTATCGTCAAAGCCTGTGGTCAAATCACGAATGTTGACAATCCGAAATCGGCCGAGTTGCTGGGGATAACCTGCAGGACCAGGATTGTCCGGCCAGTTCCGAATATATTCAAACATTACCGCGATTTTTGGAGGGTCGTAACAAAAGTAGTAACTGTTATTGCTGATGTGAATCCCATATCTAAATTGAAAATAAGGAATACCATGTAGTATATGCACAGTTCAGAATGATGCTCACGCATCAGGCAGAGTTTCGTCAGAAGCATCAAAATAAAACGGTCTTCTCAACCGAGACCACTCGCGGTACCTAGATGAAGTGGTCCTTCCGTGCAACAGATTAAAGCCCGGGTTGTGTGCAATAACCAAATAATACATGAGTCAAAGAGTTCACGTGAAAAAACACTTGTTGTGTGTGCCATTCAAGTATTCGCTCAACTGCTTGAGCTTATTTGTAATGGAAAATGAAATCAGAAGTTTACTCAAGGTTAAAATGCCATCAGTCTGTCGGGTACAGTGGATCCTTCTTGGAGTTAGTCTGCTGTCCATTGGCATTCACTGTCTCGTTTTCCTGAGTTCTATGGTCGGTTGTCTTCATATCCTTGCATAAAAAGTAAATCCTCATGATAACGTCAAAATATGGAAATGTCTACATATGGCTAGTTGTCACACCCACTGAAACCCAGCATAACGAGGACTGGCACTCACCTCGTAGTTTGTGAGTAGTGAGGAGAGTAAATTACGAATATCTCTAAAGAATCACGCGATGCGCACTGCCGATGATTCCAAGTAGGAACGAGACGGTTTTTGGCAAAGACCTAATGGAATTGCTGGATGAAAGCACCTCGAAGTAGTGAATGCTAAGAGACTGCAGAGTCGGAGTTGGAAGCTTGGACTGGATAATCGAGTTGTTTGAAGACAAACCGCAATCGATATTTCATGCTGCGGTGCAGTCGAGCTGCCATCAGACACCTTAGCTGAACATTA